TTACTAGTATTATCATTATTGAGATTAGGAGAAATTTTGTTTGATCAATTTCGTCGGTCATCTGCATCTCTCGAAGTACAAGTGGCAATGAAATTGGAAACCTTTTCTTTAATTAAATAAAAATTAATATACTTACTAGCTAACTTGCACATAAAGACAGATTCTGAAAGATTAAGCTCGAAAAACATTAACACTTGAGCTGTGACGACAATTTGAATTAAGTTTCTAAAGTTTTTTCTTTCTTCTTCTCGCATTGTAACGACAAACTGGAAATTAAATAATTTTGTTCGGTTTAATCAAAATGTGTCAAGTTTGGAAAGAATTTATTACTAATTAATTAATCATAAGAAAAATTAAAAACTACTTAAATTATTTTTTTAAAGTAAGTAATTTTTTAAAAATATCCTTTTGTGTGTGTACTGTAATATATATATAAAATTGTTTACAGTACACAATGTAAATTATTGGGTGGGTTTGGGTCACATGTCTGTCACAGAAATGGGGAGGTCATGTTGATTTTCCACGCCAATGGTCATTTTTCTTCAGCCTCCATTTCGCCAAATAATCCTAGGATGAAATTATTTAAATAATTATAATTTTTGACTCGGCCTACAAGTGGATTAAAGAAACTTGGATGTGTGTTTATTTACAGATGTCTACTAAAAAAACTTATATAGGTATTTAAATTTTTCCTTTTAAGCTTTAAAATAAATGAAAATCGAAGGAATAAATATTTTTTTAATGGGATAATTTAATTTCTTTTACATAAATTACCTTTTTTTTTTTTTTTTTTCCTATAACAATACTGTTTATTATTAAACTTAGTTTGTTGGGTTCATTTTTTTTTCTTAAAATTAAACTCAATTTGAAGTAGTACTCAATGAATGAATCCTAAAATCTTTAATTCGCCATTGACTCGAGTTGAATGAATGGGGGAATGATTTCATAAATGGAAATGAGAATTGTTTTTTAATAACAAGAAGGGCTACTTATAGGATTTCTTTTTCAGATTTTGCTTTTTGTTTTGTTTCTACTCATTTTTATATTTTTTTCCGCCATCTCGAACGTTTTTATCCTCATTTATGGCTACAGCAGTTCCCTTGTCATTTTTAATTCAAAACACAAAAGTTATTCTAAAAACTTTTAAGAAACATTTTGCTTCCCAACTGTTAAAATTTTTTTTAAAGTTTGTTAAACTAAACACTACACAGTTTTCTTATATTTAGACTTTAGTATCATTTTTTAGTATTTTTCTCTGCTTAAATTGAATGAAAATGTTTTTAAAATGAGGTCTTATTTTAGGCTAGTGTTGTAGACGCTTTAAAAATGTTGCCAGTCACTTTTTTTTTTTTTTTTTTTTTTTTAAATTTCTCTATTTATCTGTCCTATATACAGAAGTATTTGGTTGATCAATAAATCAATTACAAAATTACTTGTTCAGTTTTCTAGATAAATTTCAAACATTATTGCTTTAGTTTAGGACGTAGTAAATTCACGTTTCAGTTTTCCTTCAAAACTTTTTTTTTTTTTTTCGCGTCTTGGTCAGTGGGGATTTTTCTAGTATCTAATTATATTTCTTAAAATGTTTTTCAATTTTCTAAATAAAAAAAAAGTAAAAAAGAAAAGATGATTAGTTTCTTTATCGTTTTTCTTTTGAGCGCGGTGCGATTGACAAGAAGGCGCCTTCACATGAATCCCGTCAACCTTCAAGTTGTAACAAAATAGGGCTGCCGTTCTTACTTGCTAACTTTTTTATTCAATAAAACTGAAAGATATCATGGACATGTAAGGGAGTGATAGTAATAGGCATTTTTGTTCATTTTTCAAACATATTCATTTTTGACTCTGAACTTCAGAAATTAAGGAAATAAATCAAGTGCACCCATTTCACCTGTTATGGTGGGAAGTAATTAATTTCTCAACTTCTCCAAAGGTCTTCTCTCTTGAGAGTGGTCGAATCTTTTATTGGAAATAAATGTTTAACTATTTTTTTAAATTTTTTGTGTTGGTGAGGTGCATGTGGTGGAGGGTCGGATTGTTTCAAGTTTCGTACTTTGTTGTTGCTAGCAATAGATTTTTTGGCATGTGTCACATGTTATGAATTCTATAAAAAAAAAAAAAAAAATTAATCCGTACATTCTTGGCGCTATGTGTTTTCTTTTAAGTATCTAATGAAATCTGTGCGGTTGTTAGTTTTTTTAAAAAAGAAACATTTTAAAATTTAAAACCTCGAAATTCAAAATTATGTTTTAACTACATAAGTGAAGTGTGTCATCTTCATACACTGGTCCACTCGTTTAAAAAAAAAAAAAAAAAAAATTTTCTTGTTGGAGAGGGAAATCATTTTGTAGGTTAGCATTCTTTTTTTTTTTTTTTTTGTAGACATTATTACTTTTTAGGCCGCGACACTTGTCAGAATCGTAAAATATTGATTTTTATAAAAGAGGGGTCCTGTTTTTATCGATACAGCATCAAATCGATCTGACTTTTAGTTATTGTATCTGGTTATTATTTATTTACAAAATTCAAGTTTGAAAGTGTGGTAGCTTTATTATTGATATCTGCCCTCTTTTTCTTAGAGGGGAGCACGTTATAAAAAATGGATATATTATTTTTTTTAAAAAAAAAAAAAATTTTTTTTTTTTTTTTTTGCAATCCCTCCTAAAAAGTATGTTTTCGTATGCAAAATACTAACAGCCAAGTCCAACAACTTGATTTGAAACTGTTATTGATAGTGAACGGGAGCCGTTTTACTCTTTCTTTTAAATCGATAAAAAAAAAAAATCAATATCTTTCAATTCTGACATGTCGCAGTGTAAAGTTATAATTTTCTTCATCTGCAATAAACTGTCTTCTGCATTTTAAAAAAATATCGACAAATATCAAGAAACAAAAAAGGAATTAGGAAAAAAACTTTAAAAGTGTGATAATTAAATAACTTTATATTTTTGTCCTGTTTAGTTTGTAAAACTTCTTGCATTGAGGCAAAGCAAGATTTCTGTCCAAAAACCAGTCAATTATTCACTGACTGTGACTGGATTTGCTGATAATCTGTCAGATAACCGGTGGGAATTTAAAAAAGTGGTTAAAGACCCACCGAAACCTATACCAGAAACTCAATTCATAGATTTATTTCAATAAAATATTTTTTTGGTAATAAATTTTGTAGATAAGCATTTTAGACATACGCCTTACCAAAGGCCATTAGTGAAAAAGTGAAGGCTGCATAATTTGAACTCAACTCGCCAACTTTTACGCTTCCTTCACATCTACAAATTAAAATCTCTACTAAAAATAAAATCTAAATGACTGCCAAAAGCCAGCAAATGCAATTTATGAACTGAGTAATTTAACAGGGTTAATAAATTAATTCTAACTTAAAAATTCATTAATTGTAAAAAGGCGGCATGAATTCCTTTTTTCTACAGGTTGCTCTGAATTAAATAACAAGGTAGACTGGGCCCTCTTAACCTTGGGTGGTAACCAGTCTGAGAAAGACAACTCTAACCGTTGATAATGCGATGGAAAACTACCTTTATAAAAAAAGTGGCAATTTACAAGAATTTAAGGAATAAAAACACCTACCGGATTTAATAATCTTGTCAATATTCTGCTGAATATATTGACGACTCATTTGAAAGGCCAGGGTTAGTGTTTAAACTTTAAAAAGTAGCCATCAAAGTGGATCAATATATGTTCCAAAGTTAGGAGCAGACCTTTTTATCATGAGAGAACTGTTAACAAACATCATTTTAATTACTTTTTTTTAGGTCTTTGAAAATTTCTGAATAGCACGCCAAGAAAGAAAGGAAAAGCAAAAGTATTGTTGCTTATAAGAATGTCTTTGTAACGTTCACTTTTTAGTCCTTGCTTAACTTCGATGTAGCCAAAGAATTCATCCCTGATGTCATTGTTTGTCCGATCTTTCATCTTTTTTCCGTTAAGATCTAAGAAAGAAAAAAATTGTTTAAAAATGCTTCGCTTTATCCCCCAATGAATAGTTCACAGTCCACTACAATTTACTTCCTTTTTCTTCCGATTTTGAGGTTAGTTTATAAATTTACATTAAAAAAAAAAAGTAACATTTAAAATGTATACTATAATATGCAACCCTCTTCAAAATGACTTTGCAGCAAAAATTGAATATGATTGATCAAGAAGCAAGTTTCAAGCTACGTGTCGACGCCCAGGGTCACCCTTACGAGTTGTGCTGATGGGTTATGGCTATTGCTTGTTGAATTTTTGAGTATTAAACTTACTCTCCCTAAAATTACCTATCAAGAGGTTATGGATTTTTCTTTTTTTAAATATTAACCAATCTTTGGAGAAAATTAGTCTATTATTGAATAGCATTAAACACGACTGGGTGCCCCAATTTCTGATTTTATTTTAGGCATGCAAGAAAAATTATAAAAATAAAATATTTAAAAAAAATGACTTTTTTTTTTCTACAGACGTAATCAAGTAATTAGTAAATACGTTATTTGTTAACTTCTTGATCTACAAATAATTTTGATACTCTAGGTGATGCTGAGAGTGTGGCTGATGATGGATATGAATAAATATCCGTTACAAATGATACTCGGTATTATTGCAAAACCGTTGTACTAACGGATTTTGGGATTTTTTTGAGTGGCGGGCGGTACACTTTTTTTTTTTTAACTGAGGAAATTCATTCTTAATACACTTTTTTTTTTTTTTTTTTTCTGATTTATAATCAGTGGTAATTGACTAGCTACCAAACTATGTTTGAGAGGGAGGTCAGGATCGCTTAATAAAGCAAAATCTTTTTTTATGGGTACTTTTTCTTTTTCTAGTAACAAGAGAAATAGTTTAAAAAGATTTAATAAATTATTAAAATATCAATGGAAACTAAATTCAAAAAGTTTTGTACACTTATTTTAAGTTTGGATTACATTGGAATTAGATGAATATCGTTTTCTTTTTGTTGTTGGTGGTGGGGAGTCATCCTTACCTTATATCAGTACCTTATTCAAAAGATGAGAAAAACGATCAGTCCACCCCTCTTTCTTTTCACAGCTTATGTTGGAAAAAGGCTGTAAAATGCAATTGAAATTTGAGAAAAATTATATTTTCATTTAAAGAAACAATGTACCTAATCCAATTTATTTGAATTGATTCGTGAAGATGTCTCTTTCAAATTACATCGTGTTTATTATTATTATTATTATTATTACTCACATAAGTCAGTCAGTTATGTGCCATACGTGATTACACGCTTAGGCGATCATGTATCTTTCGATATATGACTGACGAGGCAGATTTTTCCCGTAGTAGGTTGCCATTTCTTTCTGTGGTAGACTAATTGCCATCCAAGGCTGTAGAACCCAATCTATCCTACTTTACCCATAGCGGGGGGGGGTGATTCACACCTTTCTCAAGGGTATTTATTTAGGCTATTTATTAGCACGTAAGTGAATGTAATGGATTCGACTGGAATTCGAACTCAGCTCTCCAATTCCTCAATTCATTACTCCACTGTGCCTCCATACTCACATAAGACTGCAGGTATGTAAAGTTGTAAAGTTGTGAAAAAAGTAAAAAAAAAACTGCGTGCAATAGAAGATCCTTATGTTTTAGATTGAGTTTTCCCGCAGCTGACGTATTGCTAGCAATCGTTCAAAATTTGATGTTTGTACAATATTAAAAACTAAAAAAACAATTCATTTCATAGTAATTGTTCAGCTGGGGAGGGGGGGATTCCAAACGGAAACTCATTTTATTTCGGTTATTTTTGTCATTTAGGTTGTGTTGATATACATGCCATATTGTTACTAGATTTTTCTTTTAAACAAAGCCTCTTTAGTTTTTAAGCACTGTTTTCATGGTCAACATTTCAATAAAAATTTGTAATTGAGGAAAAAAAAAAAAAAAAAATTATTGCAGAATTAGTGATTTATTTATTTACATTAAAGCACTTGGAAAAATTTTAACTCAAGAATGGTTACCGGTTGTAAATAAATCGATTTCTTCCAATTTAAGAGTTGTGCCTTCAACGGATATCGTATTTAAATTTATTTACTATTTATTTCCCCCCCCCCCCATAAAATTGATATTTAGAGACTTAGAACGTGTATTATTTATTTATATATTTTTTTTAATATTGTGAAATAATTTTGCTTTTTACTGAAATAATCAGTCCTCTCAAATCCTAGCGTGCATAATAATAGTAAAACGAAAAAGTGACTAAAAATTTTGAACATATGACAGAAAAGAGAAAAAAAATAAGTCTTGTTTGCAGTAATTTTCTACAAAGATAAATGAAATCTGTAAGTTTTATCGAGAAATCGGTTTTATGGGATTTAAAAGAAAATTTTCTGATGCAGACTGTGCATACCATCCTTAGTTTTATTTTTTTTACCATTCAATAATAAAACGATCGAGTCTAAGCGTGTTTTTATATTCGCTTTGCATGCATCTCTTGTTTTCATTTTTAGGAAACATGTTCTTACATGTTTGATTTTTAGGCAGTAACATTAACTACAATTCAAATTAGTATATCTTTTTGCACACTCAAAGGTCAAAAATTAATGCAAACTTTGGAGACTTTTTTTAAAGTCTATATGTAAGAAAATTAATCGATTGGTAGAAAAAATTGTAACTTTTGGTCATGACGATGATGTATTAATTCTGCTGTTGCTGCTACTACAGTACACTACAGCCTTTTTCCTTACCACCACTGATGATTGATTCTGGTATCACCACTGATACTTCTATTTAGTTTTCTCACTGCTGGTTATTATTGCCACTTCTCCCTTTTTTGTATTACTGCTCTGTCTGTCACTACTGCTGTTTTTGGTGTCTGTCTCTATAGATACAGACACCAAAATTGGAGACGATACCAGCTGGACAACAGAGCGGGTAGCAAAAAAAAGTTTACTTTTTCTTTTCTTTTTTTTTTTTTTTTTTTTTTTTAAATTGTAACCAGTCTGCACCCGGAATTACACGTATACTGCTGGTGTGAAAATGTTGAAATTGATTTATTCCAAATTCATGTTCTTCAACACCTTGGCCTCCACAGGTAGGAGGAAGATGCTAGTATTGCCCTTTTTTCATTGTTGTTGTTTCTTGTTTTAATTGTTTTGTTTTTGTTTTATCTATTTCTTCATCATAGAGTAAGAATAGACTTTATTCTCTTTTCCTAAAAGATTTATTAGGATGGTCAGTCTTCGGCCAATCAACCATTGTCCTCGTCGGCTCGTAATTGATTTCCCAAATAACAATGAGGCAGGGGTAACCACTTCTTCCGAAATGTTTCTACCTGTCTATGTACCTTACAAGTGGTTGATTTGCAGTATTTGTTTTGACTTGAATTGCTTCACTCTGACAATTATTCGTTAATAATCCTCAAGCAAGAGCAGTCACGTCTTCACGATTATCATAAAAAAAACGTCCTAACTTTCCGCCCACGACGTTTTTCTTTACTGTTGTTTTGTTCATTCATCCCTTCTATTTTCTTTACGATTTGCTTTTTTTTTTTTTTTTTTTTTTTGATTTATTTTTTTTAGTCTATATTAGCAATTTTCTTTCTATCCTCGTATAGTATTGTGATATTGTCTAACGATTTTTTTCTGCAAATTCTGGGTAAATAAACCGATAAACAAGTGTTATTCTTTCTTTCTTTCTTTTTTTTTTTTTTTTTTTTTTTTTTTTTTCCCCACTGGGATACTATCCCTCTCCTTCCTTTCTAAAATTAGACATGATCTCCTTTTTCTTTTTTTTCTTTCTTTTTTTCTCAACTTTTTTTTTTTTTTAATTTAATTTTATTCACTCCTTTGGTCAGTTCTCCTTTTGGGGGATGACTGGGTGAGGGTAGAAATGGGATGTGGATATGTCTTCCACACCCACTTTCATTATAACGTTCTTAAATCTTTCATCGATTTAAAAATTGTTTTTAGAATGTTTTTCTCTAAGTTTAGATTACTCATTGCTATTCATTTCGTGAAGGATTTTAAAAAAATACTACAGTGTTACAGGCACACGCATACACACGGTATGGTGAAAAGTTCTAGGCCCTACATATCACAAAATCTGGCTTATTTTATCTTTTATATTGATTTTTAGCGCGGCCGAGAACTTTCAAAGCTACCGAAATTTTTTTTTCTCAAAATGTGTGACAGTGAGTAGGTAGATGGATTTTTTCTACCCTTTTTTTGGCTTTTGAACTTTATACTCTTAGGAGGTTCTATATGTTCAAATATCTCCTTGCAAAAATACTATGTCTGTGGTTAGTGAATCTGACATACCTTTCAGTTTATTATTTAATTCATCGTATTAATAATTAGACTCTAGAGCTTTATTCTAAAATCCCTTTCATTGACCATTTGCAACAATTGGCACAGCACTGTGCAGTGTTCTCCCTCTCTGATGGCCATATAGTCTGATTCAAGATTTTTTTTTCATTTCATGCTTAAACATTACTTCCCCCCCCCTCTTAGTATACTGGATTATGCTTGCTTTTTTACTTAATTCTTAGCTCCTATCATTCTTGAAATTGCTTTTTATCCCTTTCAAATCTCCTCCTAAACTAAAGCAGTCTATTCTAATAGTTTATCAGTGATGCTATGAAATCTTCTCCAATAATTAAAATCTTACCTTCCTGATAAATAGACTGAAATTCTTTTAATTCTGTTACAAATTAGCTTTTCAACCACTTATTCATCTCTCTGTATATGTGTGAGATATATATTAGTAAAAAAAAATTCTTATTGAATTTACCATGATTTATTGTACTTAGAAATTGTGTTGGCATGGTTTTGCTTTCTGAATTCAGATCAAACAATAGAAATAGTATGTTCTCCCCGGTGTCTTATAATTTAATGTGAACGTTGGAATCATCACTGCATGGTGACTGTAAGTTGAAAGTTTCAATGCAATCTTTAGACCAAGTCTCTTGGTCTAAAGCTCTACAGTAACTTATATTTATTCTATACAAAATTTAAGTGCATTTAATACTTGAAACTAAAAAAAAAAGGTACCCTTAGATATGAGAACTTAGAATTAGAATGAAAGAATATTTTTAAAATTTTCACTGAACTGTTTAACAAAATAAAATTTATTCAATTTAGTGGTGGTTGATGGCTGTTTTTAAAGTGTTGATATCAGAGATTGTATGTGTCTATAAAGTTCTCTAGCATATAGTCTTTGATAAATATGCATAGAAATAGAACCAGTATTTTTTTTTCTCACATCTGATAAATGAAACCTAGAAATGTGGCTACTGCTATCAAGCATCAAGATTTCTTTTTAATCTTGATATAATTAGTGTTGTGTGCAAGAAATATTTCCTTAAAGCTTCTTCTTTCTCTTTTTCTTCTTCTTTCTCTTTTTCTTCTTCTTTCTCTTTTTCTTCTTCTTTCTCTTTTTCTTCTTCTTTCTCTTTTTCTTCTTCTTTCTCTTTTTCTTCTTCTTTCTCTTTTTCTTCTTCTTTCTTTTTCTTCTTCTTTCTTTTCTTCTTCTTTTCTTTTTCTTCTTCTTTTTTTTTTCTTTCTTTTTTTCTTCTTTCTCTTTTTCTTCTTCTTTCTCTTTTTCTTCTTCTTTCTCTTTTTCTTCTTCTTTCTCTTTTTCTTCTTCTTTCTCTTTTTCTAGTGCCTGAACACCTATTTGGTCTATGGATTGGAAAGTATTACGGTTCTCTTGTTTCTCATTGAACTTAGATTAAAAAAATGTTTTGAACATTTCTCTTTAGGAAAACACTTTGTTTTAATTTTTGTCCATAGTTACAAGATGGAAATGAATTAAATTTGTTGATAGTTGTTAGTATCATAAGTAGATATAACTTTTGGTGTTGCAAGTTGTCATTCTTTTTTTTTTTTTTTTTTTTTTTACCCACAATTAAGGTCTTTTGATAACATTTTCAAAAGTTTTAGCTTGAAGATGGTGAAACGCTTCAAAGTACATTGTTTAAACAAATCTAATTTGTGCTGATTCACTAATTTACTAAAATCACTTCTGAGTTTAGATGTTTTGAGTATCCTCATAGTTGAAAGGTTTGCTTGCTTAAACTTGTACAGTTTGAAGATTTTTATCATGACTACCATAGAATTTTTGTTATTGTTGGTTTTTGTTTTTCAGTTCAAACAAACATTAACTAAAAACAATGTACCATTTGTAAAAGTTTGGGAACCCCACTTTTTTTTTTTCCTCATTACTGGCTTAACTCAAGGCTTTTGCAAAGATCATTGTTAACATCGTCTGAGATGATCTGTGGTGGCAGTTTTCATTGGTGAATTTTTTGTCCCAATTTTAGATTTTCAATTGGATTGAGGTCTGGTGAGTTGGGCAGTCATTTCAAGAGTTTGGTTTGCCGTCCTTATCACCCTCCCAATCCCACAGCACCATTAGATAGGGTTTTCAAACTTTTGCAATATAAAAATATAAGAAAAGCTAAATTTTAAAATTTTTATTCTTTTCATTTTAGTCATTAGGAGCTTAAGCCGTCTACAGCGGAGATCGGAAAGTGCATTTATCCCCATCCATGTTACAGCTACTGGGCCTCGGACACGCAGCCGTGTTACAATATGGAATTTACCAGAAGAAGTCCTTGTCTTACTTCTGAAAGGTCTCCATGTCCGTGATCTCTTAACCATGCGAGCTGTAAGTTTTTTTTTTTCTTTCTTTCTTTCCTTTTTTTTTTTTTTTCTTTCTTTTCTTTCTTTTTTCTCCCTTTTCTTTCTTTTTTTTTTTTCTTTCTTTGATTTCAAAAAGGCTAATGTATTCTTAGACAGTTAGAAACTCATTTATTGTGTATTCTTTTATTCACTATCAATCACTATAATCTTTTTTCCCTTAAAAATTAATTTCCCTATCTTAGCTTCACATTTGAAAATTCAAAAAGGGACATTTGACATAAAATTTTGCTTGGGACTATATAAGATTTCTATAGGAATTAATGTTACCAAAAAACATTTTTCAGAATATAATATAAATCAATTGAATCTTGCTTGTATATGGTATTTTACTTTTAAGTTTTGCTTATAAAACACGTTTTCTTAAAACAAAATACTTTGCATTAAAGTCAGAAATAATTTTAAGTGCATATGTTTTTCAGTAAATTTTATATCAACTTATGAATGTGACATACATTTTGTTAAACATCTTACTGAAACTTTAATCCTATAATTGTTGGAAAGTATATTTAAAGTGTAGTCCTATTTTTATTGGAACTTTATCATTTCTTCCAAAGTATTAAATGCTTTTTGAAGTGATAGATGGATAGAATCTAGATTTTGATTCTCAGCATATGGTAAAATTTGAAGTAAGTTGTGATCTTGTTTTATAAATAAATATTATCTTAGCAATTCTCCTTTTTATAGTAAAATTGAAAAATATTTTGGAATATTATGATTTGTTTATAAATACATGGAAACAATGTTATTAGTGAAAAAAAAAAAAATTAATAACATTTCCATAGGAATCTTTAGTAAACTCCAGTGTTTGTGCTTATTTTCTTTGTATTCTCACATTTTATCTTTGCAATTATAATTATTATACATTAACTAACTTTCCATTGAAAAATCATCCACTAAACAGTATAACTAAGCTCTTTTATTTATACTGTACCAAAAAAAAATATTAATCTAATATCTGTATTTCAAGATTTAAGTGAAGCAAAAATTTTGAAACAAGTACTTATCAATACAATATTTTAATGTCTTGTCTGAATTTACTAAATCTCAATTGACATATTATGCTGATAAACTTATCAATCTCTTTATGGATTTAATGGAAATGCTTATTTAATACATATTGTGAGATTATAGCTTACTTTTTCTTAATTTGTGCCTTGTAAATGTTTTTGGCTTAGGTAGTTTTGATATTTATGAGCTTAATAAGTGAAATCCAAGCTGTCAACATGTTCTTCATTTTCAATTGATATATGAGTGCTGATAAAACTAATGTTGTCAACAAATTAATTGTATATAGCTTCAGGGCAGTGTTCAGATTTAAAAGGATTAATTGTGATATGAAGGATTTTCTTATGCCTTTCCTGATTCAGGTCAGAGTACTCATTCTGAACATAAAGCTTCTTAAATTTTGTACTTATAAGAAAAAGGTACCAAATTGTTTTTATATAGAAACTCCTTTTCCTTTGCCTTATAAGTATACTATAAGAAAATTGTAAATTTTTGAAAGTTGAAACAAGATGACTTGACAATACTTTTGTTTTCAACATTGATACTGTCATAAATTTACATGTTCATTGATCGGTAGTTGAACTAATTTATCCTTTTTCTTTAGAATATAAAAATAATTGCTAAAAGTAGGAAACTCAATTTTTTTTTTTCTTTTTCTTTCTATAAAATGTTAAAGTTACTTGACTCAAATGAACACAATGGTCTTCATTCTTTGAATAAATTTTCAAGAACTTTAATCATTCAGAAATTGTCTTTTAATTAAATTTTGAATGTAATGAATTGCAACCTGATAAATTTAGTTAGTTTTGCCAACCTGCTGGTATGCTATTTTCAATTAACCTGTTTGGGATTAGACTGTGTCTGATATACAGCTTCAAGAATTTGATTTAGTGTTAAAATATAAAGGTAAGATTATATTGCTGTGATCTTATTTAAAGTTGAACATTTTCCAGCCTGAAGTGTATTATATCAAATTATTTTTCAAAATAATGTTTTATCAATTTCTGTAGAATTCTCAGTAAACAGGAAGTTTAATGATTCTTCAACTTGAAACCCTTTTTAAACATATTAAAAAAAAATCAACTTCATTACTCCATAAGTTGTCATTCATACTTTAAATTTGTTTTAAAATTGTTCTAATTATTTTCATGTACTGATATTTTTTGAATTAAATTAAAAGTAATGTCATATTTATGTGTTTTTGAGATAAGTATTTGATTTTTTTCTAGGTTCATCCGTATTTCCAAGATCTCATTGATAACAGCATATCTATTTGGTCATCTGCCAACTTTCAGGATTCCTGGCCATCTCCACAAAACATCAGGCATTTTGAAAAGTAAGCGCCAATAATAATTATATTGTCTTTTTACTTCCTGGGAAGTTTATCTCTTCAATCTGTAAACAAATATTTTGTCATGATTTCTTTCCTGCAATTTAACATTTAGCACTCTTACATTATCTTTAAATAAATCTTCTGCTTTTACTGTATATGGAGTCCCCTCAAAATATAGTGTTTTATATATTCTGTATATTTGAAATTGTAGTAGCCTGGCTCTCGATTTCAGTCCAGATTGTTTTAGGTGTTGCCATAGAAGGATATGACTACACAACCAAGAAATTCAAATTCAACTTTCATTGGCAGGACTAACATTTTGCTTGGTGAAAATAGTCACCTACAGAGTGCTAAATTTTAATAAGGTAACTATCCGTTTCTGAATTTACACAATGCATTCATTGTTATTGGGATGGAGACACTTTGAGTGAAATAATTTAATAGTTAAATAAGATATTTCCATTAAGAGCTATGTTACCATAATTTTTAACTATCGTATATATTAAAAATATATTTTGGGTGTTTTACTTAGATTTGAGTTAACTTTTAATATTGCTTGTTTCTGCTACTATTGCTAATTTGTTCCATATAACTTGTATAACTTTTGGATTTCCAGGGCTGCAAACCACTGCAATATTGAAGCACTTGTGAAGCTAGCATTGGCTCATTTGTACAACGAAGGATGTAAGTTACAGAGAATTCTCTCATATATATATATATATATATATATATATATATATATATATTGAACAATTAACCCATTGTACCCAAGTGATTCTGTTAATTTTAAACAGTATGTTACACTCTTAACTTGTGTATTATAATATAGTAATAATTTGTCAATATGGTTTCTTATGTTATTTTTATGCTTTTAATTCATGAAATAACCATGGAGTAATTTGAAAGATTTTGTGCCAAATCTTAAGACTTATATTTTATGTTAGGTAGGGGAATAGATTGAAATGTTTACTTTATTTCTTAGCTCTGCTTTGACAATCTTTCCTTATTTCTTTAGTACCTGGTGACAAAGAAAACAAACAAATAACAAGAAATGGCTTTGTTGCTGCTGAAATGTTTTGCAAAGTGGAAAAACTGTGCTCTGGGTGTAGTCCATTTTGTTGGCTTTTCATCCGTCCTCCCTGGTCAATGAATGGAGCCTGCTGCAAAGAGTGTGTTTTTACATATTTCCGACTTTATCTACGAAAAGTGAGTTTGACTTTTTTCATACAAAGTTTTTGTGCTTTGTTAATACTCCTTTACTTACATAGAAAGATAGTTTTATTTTTATGCATAGACTTATCTCACTTCATAATCTTTTAGATGGGAGGGCTGTTAGACATTTTGACGGTCGTTTCAAGTATAGAATCCAGAGGTTAGCAGTGAATATTTGGAGCAAAGTAGGAAAGCGTAGTTCTTCCTTCTGTCACCTTTGCCGGACAAGTTGGCACTGGTCATTCGGGTAGGGTAAACAAAAATGGCAGCCTTTATACACGACAGATACAATGTTCTGCAGCTTCTGATTGGTTAACCTTCTATTGGTAGACTATAAAGGGAGTTAAGTCATTTGAACTAACTCACTAGTTACATAACATATACACAAAAAACTGTAACAAGGGCATCATAGTTTTTTTTTTTTTTTTTTTTTTTTTTTTTTTTTTTGTAGATCTTTTAGACTAATGATAATAACTTTAATAACTTTCAAAAATGTTTTGTATGAAATGATCTATTATATAAACATGAACACTTAAATGACGTTGCAATTTTTAAAAAATAGCATCAGGTATAGAATCAATTGTGAAATCTGCTGCTAGGAAAGTTGGTTCACTATCATACCAAATAATTTTTCTTATCAGAATCCATCTTGCACATTTTTATAAATCTACTATTTGTCCATTACTGCAATATCTGGTTTGGTGCTCCTACTTGTGTATCTTTTAGATTCTTGACAAAATCCAAAGAAGTGCCTGTAATGTAATCTATCTTCAGTCACTTTCAAACTGTTGTGACCTGGCTTCCCTGTTTTCTCTACAAATATTTCCATGGCATTTATTCTGGTGAGCTTTCCTCTTTGGTGCCTCAACTGAATGTATTTAAGCGTACTACTAGTTTGATAATTTATTTTTATTGTTGAATTAGCTAGATTTAACTATGTTCTGTTCTAATAGTTTTTTTTTTTTTTTTTTTTTTTTTTTTTTTCTCACCTCTTGCACTTCTTGTGGAACTCTCTTCCAGTTTCTTGCTATTCTGCCACCTACAATCTTAAAAAATTTAAATGCAATGTCAATTGCCATCTCCTGTTGTCCTGAATTCTGTTTTTTCTCCTCAGTAAAGTCTCTTCATTTTCTTTCACTCCCAGTAACTCCTTGCGACTTAGTGACATTATCACCTTGCTTGGGATGAAATGATTAAAAAGAAATGTGGGGTGCTTATTAGACAATATAAAGCTTTAAAATGCTTATTTGAAATAATTTTTTGCAGGTTATGGATCCCAAAATACAGATTTGTGTTGTGAAAACAATGTTATTGATTGACAAAGAAGAGAATAGACAAGATGCTTGGAGCCTTTTAGAAGCAGCAGCCAATCAGGGTTCTGCAGCAGCTGCCTTCATGTTGTGGGAAAATAACTACCAGCATAATGTAAGTAAAAACTTTAAAAAAATAACTTATTGTTTTACTTTATCTAACCTGGTAACTTAAATGTTTACTCAAGATTAGTCTGACACAAGGCCTTAGTACCAATTGGTGATTAAACTTGGCAGACAGGAGCAGTTCTGTAAGACTAGTTTGCTAACTGTCTGTATAGGTGTAGAATTTGTTTATATCTAGGGAGTGGAGGGAGCACTTTTGTTTTCATTTTGTTGCAAGCCACTTCTTTCCAGTAACTGTACAATATGCTAAGTGTTATAAACAATTTTTGGATAGTGAAATAATTTTTCTATGACTTTGCAAAAATTGGTGTCTCTTGAATGTTTCTGCTTTGCATAATTCATTATATCTTTGAATAAATAAACACCCACCTGTGGGTTTGAGATAAAATTGATTGTGGTGCATCCAACTAAACAATTGTTTCAAGTCACATTGGATATCTGCTTTGGAGAAACATTGCTATCAACAGCAAGGAGGTACTGTCTCAAAAAAAAAAAATTAAAAGGGTATTGTAACTTTTAGTAGGAGTTGTAAAAACCAAAAAAAAAAACTAAAAACATAAGACCCCTTGGGTTGTGAACCCCTGCATTAGAGGATGGTTAAATAGACAGGTTTTTTTACAATTGTTGTCCTGTCACTATTGTATAGTAGTGGAATCTTATTCAAAATGTGGTTGTTGCTTTGTTTGTTTCCTAATGTTTAAACAATAAATTTGGAGGCTGTAAACACAGATCTATTTAATAATTTAATTGGTTGTAGATATCTTAATATAATGTTATATGATCTATGCCAGTTGAAGTATGTATGTGCTTTTATTTCATGGTAAACTTTGGATCAGAACAATTTTTCTTTATTGGTTATAATACTGAAAAATTGATACTTACTGGTAATTCATTTTTCCATTCTTGAAAATGGAGTAGAAATCTTAAATTTATACATTAAATGTTAATTACAAGGGGAAAACTTATTTTTTTTAGGTAAACACTGAACGTGCTCTGGAACTTGAAAGTATCCGTGAGCTACGGGACATTGCTAGTGCAGGCAGTCTTGATGCCCAGCTAATGCTTTGCCGCTTCTATGCTTCTGGTAAATATGGTGGACTCAGCTATCATCAAGCTGCAGCCTTCTGTAGGGACCTGGTGCAGTCCTCCCGGCCAACTTCAATCCATAAAGTGTTCCAATGTAGTCATGAACTGACACCAAATATGAGGTAAGCAATAATTTCAAATTTCTTTTCTTTTATCTAGTAATGGATAATTTTTAGAGATACAGGGGGAAAATGCATATTTTGTGCCGGTTGTTTGATTGATAGACACATACTTAGTTACACTCAAAATTAATATTTGCTTAAGGATTATTTTTGTTTGTATATAACCATATATAAACACTGAAATTTGCATATGTTATTAAAATGTTTACCATCACTTTAACAGAATTTATTTATGCTAATTATATTTGGACTATTGTCCTCATCTTTGTTTTTATCCTAATGTTTCAGTTGTTGTGCCCTCTGGTTTTCCTCTGGTGTATATTGATCTGAATAATCTAGAGGGAGTTCTGAACTGAACCCTTTATCTAATCTTAGGGTACTTTGGCAGCTGAATCAGCAGTGTTTACTTGAGGAAATTGTTCTATGGGACAATGGCCTAGTGTATAAGTGTTGGTTTGTGAATTTGACATAGTGGTTGTGAGTTTAGGATTGAGCAGTGTGTACTTGCACTCAATGTAAACAGGCAAGCAATAACTGAACAGTACTACATAAAATAAGAACTAGATGATATCCCAAGACATGAGCAGTGGAACAAGAAAAGTCTACACCACCCCCACCCCTTAGATTAAATAAAGGGTTCAGTTCAGGATTCCCTGTCGGTTACCCAGATTGATATACAACGGCCATTAGTACAATGGCTGAAACATTGTAATAAAAATAACAAAGATGACAATAATCTGAATATAAATAGTGTAAATAACAACTCCTCATCCCAGAAATTCAGACAAAAGTTAACAGCATTCAAAAATATAAATATAAAAAATATGAAGTTTTCATAAGTTTAGATCTAGAAAAGGCTTTCATTTAATAATTACTTTAGGAATGTTTATTTTTATTTTTTTATTGCAGGTATATTTTAGTTGACTGGTTAGTAGAAGTTGCTGAAATGAAAGAATTATCCAGTCAAACATTACATGCATCAATAGCACTGATGGATCGGTATTTAAAAATCCACCCAACATCAAGAAGTATTTTGCAACTTCTGGGTGTTGTATCAATGCTAGTATGCTCAAGGTATATACCCCGTCTTATTTATTTTATTGCAAAACAAGTTCTAGACAAATATAGGTTCAGTGCACATATACTACAAATTGATCTTGTAGAGCTTTGATATATTGATATTGTTTGTTTAATCATGATCTAGTTTAAAATATCAAAACAAGCACTTATTGCTTATATCTTAAAGTATTTTCTTTAAAATGAGATCTTTATAGAGCAACTGACTAATTTTAGTTTGGCAAAAATAAATGTCACATGGTCAGACTGATGTACATCTGCAGCATTGTTTGCTAGTAAGCTTCTTATTAATTTCACTTTTAAAGAGCTCACTTATGAAGTTTATATGATAATTTATTGCCATAGTTCTCTATAATTTTAATGTTTTCACACTAAACTTTGTCTTTACCAGTCAATATTAAATTTCAGGATATTTATGAGCAATATATTGTGCATTTCAATATTTTTAGTTACAACTTTGTTGTTGTTGTTTGGGAGTGTTAGGTTTTATGCAAAGTACATGATAAATTATTTATAAATAAATCCAAAAGATATACGCCATAAAATCATGTGATTAACACATTATCTCAAGGTGAGAAATAGTTAGCTTTCTAGAAGAATAAAAGCTCTTTTGCATGAATATACTCTATAGTTTAGAGCTTTTTGATTGTGACCTGTAGCCACTCCAAAGAAATTTTATATATATATTTCTCAAGAAGTTAGAGTACTTTTCTGTAATTAACTTTATACCACCAATCCTTGTTACAGATGCCTGCTCTGATACATTGGTGTTTATTTCACATCCACTGATCCCCCTGTGGTTATACTGCAACTATGCTGAGCAGATTGATTACAGTTACAGATTCTGGGGGGTTATAATCTGGAATGATTTAGTAGCTTGATAATGCCAGTATTCTTAAACTCAGTGCTCCTGATAACTTGTTAGTTTGTGCTAGTACAAGCATTGGCAGCTCCTAGACTCACAAGTCTTGGGTCAAGCCATGGTGTCATTTTCAGGCACTTTTTGAAGGTGGTCGATGATGAGATCACTTCCCACAAACTGATAACATCAAGAAGTTGCCTTTTCAGACCCAGGTCTCATGGTGGGAAATCAAGCATTTGGATGTGTGTGGAGATATATAATTCCATATCAACTCAACCAAATTTTTCAAATTTCCCTATGCACCATATCGGATTTTGATGAAATTTTATCTTTCATAAACTCTTAGTTCAAGAGTTATAGTCTCCTTAATTTGGTGTTAGTTTTTGCTGATTTTAAAATAGCATGATTTGCCAACTTTGGCACTTCATGACTTTGCATTCTAAGATACTAATTTGATATTTGATAGTCCTATAGTCTGATATATGGAGAAAGTGCTCCTATTTATATTTTATTTCTATTTTCTATAGTGTGATAGTTATAGTGCTAAAAATGGAAGGGGTTATTTTGCAGTTTTTAGTGTGTTTTGCCACCTATAGAAGCTAAACCATTAGCAATAGAATAAAAAATGAAGTTGATTATAATAATATTTGATAACTTGCTTTGGGAAAAGCATTGAAATATTGGTTTTACAAGAGTTACATGACTCCTAGTTGGCAAAAATTTGTCATTGTCCACATCAAGTTTTAGACTTTTTCGAAAGCTTGATAAGTAGTATAGACAGTTGAAATCAGGATTTATAATTCATTTATAATTTTGAAATACACAAAAATTGATACCAAATCAAAGTTTAAGGAAGCTAAACCTTTAGGGTTTTTAGTTCCTTGTAGGTGGGTACAACATACTAAATTAATTGAAATCTAAGATGGTACCCATGTGACACTGGTTGAAACACACACACACATATATATATATATATATATATATATATATATATATATATATACACACACACACACACACACACACAGTGTATTTAGGCATCAAATGTTCTTTAACGCAAATGCTATTAAAAACAATATGCATTTTGTGTTAATTTTAATGATTAACTTTCCTATGTCTAAGGATTATTCATAATTTGGAAAAGCTGATCATTAATCAACATAGAATGTCTTACACACACACACACACACACACACACACCTATATTTCACTTTTAAGTTGTTTGACTATTTCTGTTAAGGGCCCTGTCATTATGTCCATCCAGTGTAGCTTTGCAATTGTTGATAAATCAGTTTTCATGTACCTCTTTACCCAACTTTTATATTTATCTTTGTAAAGTTTACTTTGGTAGCTTGCCTTAGATATAAAAGCAACCAATATTCTTAATATCCTGCCTCTTATCATTTTGCAAAATTTCTTCAAATATTTTTTTTGCTTGTCAATCCACTTTTCTTGCTTATTACTCTTAATTCTTCTCAAATGCTTTCTGACCTTATTAAAACCATTTTTCTCTTGTTTTTGCTAATATTTGCAATTTCCAACATTGTTCTCATCACTTGGTACCATATCTTTTTTGTGGGTGGCCATGTTTATATATCTGAAATTAAAAAATGAATATAAATAACAAGACTATATTTATTTCCAGTATGGACAAAACTCAAAATGTATAAAAAGTCAAACTTACAAATAAGTTATTGTAAATATTTGTAATAAAAACAAATATAAACTGAAATTCATGAGGTATGTGTATAATATATATACACACACATACACTAGCTTAAAAGATTGGGCAGTATTTAAGCTAGCTCCTGCAGAGGGTTCTGGATTGGGCCTTCATCACAATAGGTGGGGAGGAGTAGATGCGGTATGCAACAATAAACTACAAACTCAAAATTGTAATTCTTCTGCCACCTCTTAGTTTAGGTCCTTACTTTCTATACAATTATTTTTATTTCATGGGTAACTCTTACTGGATTTCACAATTAATTTTGATTATTTCCAAGTTATAAAAATTGTACAAAAAGTTTGTTGGAAAAATATCACATTAAAAAAAAAAAAAATCTGCAAAAACAATTACAGTAATGAAAATTTGGTAATCCAAAATTTCAGGATTGCAAGTCCAGATCCGACCCAGAATTTTTTAAATTTGCTCTCTGATTTGACCTAATTCCAAAATTGTATGTTGGGTTACAGCCTCTAAGAGTAAAGTTGAAATCGTGTAACAGTAACACATTAACATTCACGTTTATTATATAGATATCCTGAAAGTTTTACCAATATTGGTTAATACCAATTTTGTGTAATTTTGGCATGTATAAAAAAAAAAATCAGGCATGCAGAGATATATATATATATATATATATATATATATATAAGCTTTGAGATGCACTATTTTTAAAAATTTTTTTTTTTTTTTTTGTTAGATATTTAGGTAAAGATATTATCACAATCAGGGAAGCTGCTTGGTTAACTGACAATACATACAAATATGAAGATGTGGTCAAGATGATGGGAGAAATTGTTGCCACACTCAAAGGGAACATTAGGGTGAGTAAATCTGAAGCAATAAATTTAAAAAAAAAAAAGCTTGTTCATTATTATTCAGTAGTTAATTTTAGCAATAGACATTAAAAGTTTTAAATAATTAGACTGTGCTGAAAAGGTCTTGGCCAAGCCAAGAGATTATAAAACAAATTTTAATTTGTAGTCAGATTATTCCCCCCTCTCCCAATTGTTTAATCAACCACATTTGTTAGTATATTTTTATGAATATATTTGATGTATAGACTTACTGATTTTAAAATACTTGATATTAAATACCATTGTAAGTTTTATATTGTTAGCAGGTTCTGCATGTTTCTGTAATTTGACTTTAAAGCATTACTGTCTTTAATTTTTGTTAAAATTCTGATTTACTCGTAATTTTTAGGTGCCTACTAGTCTAGACTTTGCCAGTATCTTCTGCTTGATGGATGAAATGGATGTAGTCAGTGAAAACTTAGTCAACTACATTTGTGAACTTTGCCTTCTACATTCAGAACTTGGGCATTATTCCCCTGTGGAAACTGCTGCAAGTGCTTTTATCTTGTCTCGTCTTATTCAAAGAATGGGTAAGTTCCCCTGACTTTAAAAATTATTTTCCAGCATACTACTCAGAAATAAAGGAATTATGTAGGTGTGAATCAGCACTTTGATCAAAGTATCTGTGCACTCTACATCAGATGAACATTTCTCTCTAACACTTCCTTGGATCAATGTAGTATCTTAACATTGTACCAAGTTACCAATATATAATCCACATGTATATATAACAATTACAAAAAATAGGGTTTGTCTATGGGACCCCAACATTGAGGTTCTGAATATAAACTCAATATATGGGAAACTGTTTTTTTTAAAAACATCTTTTAATAAATATGACAGACAAAGATTCAATTTTTTTGATTTTAAATTTATGTAGAAATTAAAAAAAAAAAAAAAAAATCTTCCTTGTCGGTCATATATATATATATATATATTGTTTACACACACACACTTTTCTTTTTTTTTTTAAATAAATAATCTTAAGTGTTTTTCATATAAAAAAAAATCCTATTTAATATTTGGGACAGTGAATTCAATCTGTAAAATCGAGGTATTTTTAATGTTATGCATTATACCTTACATAACATCAAATCCAATTGTTGCTTAGATGATGGTACAATGTTAAAATCACAATTTAAGGCTAGGATTGATTGCAGTAGTACATTTTTATCCAGACTAAAGAAAATTCATATGCCATGTTAAAGATTTCTAAAGTTAGGATTGGTTAAAGTATTGCAAGTAATAGGCCTTATTATTATTATTTTTTTTTTTTATAACAAATCATTTCATGGATACCAAAATCTGCATCTTAAATCCTCATATAATATATTTGCTCATAACTTGCATACATCCTCCTGTAATAATTTTAAACAATGTGTATTCATTTATATAAGTAGCCTAATATCAATGCTGTGTAAATACTTATACTATATGTATAAGCAGAGTTTGAGCAGGAAATTGAATCCAGAAGAGAATTCCAAAACTTGTATATTAGTGAATTTTACTAATATTTTTGTGCCATTATTGATAAGATAGGAGAAAATTCTGTGATAAAAATGTGTGAAAATACAAAATATGTACATAGTTTCATTAATTGTATTATGTTCAAGTATGTTGGAGAGATTGCAGATAGGCGAAATAGTGGAAGGCTACTGCAGTTACACATCCCTTTGTGAATTCAGTATAGTACTTGGCATATGACAAATGTATTTCACTTTTGTGACTCTTCTGGAGATATACTAATTTACACAGGCTATCACATCTTACTCCATTTGCAATTCTGCAATTTAAAATAGTTCCACCTGCTTTTGTCAGTTTAAGAGAAATAAAGTAAAATTTTACATGTATAAATACATGTAGCATGGCTTATCTGCAGATATGAAGGGCTAATTTCTTTAATCTTTTTCAGATCCTTTATGGCCTGAGAAAATGGCATTATTCACAGGATATTGCCTGAGAGATGTTAGGATTTGTGTCATACACATTCATAGAAAATGGTAAGTTTCCAAGTTTTTATTTTATTTATTGATTTTTATTATTTTTTTTTTTTTTTTTTTTTTTTTTAGTATTTTCTGTTAATTTTCTTGTATGGCTCAATTCAATTATAGAGGAAATTAGTTCCCTTGGAACTTTGAAACGAGTTTCTTCTCTTGGTTTAATTTTACATGGGCTATTTATCACTACTTTTTTATTCAGTCTGTCAGATGTGTATCTTTTGAAACCGATTTATTTTAATGTTCATGTGATAACTGTCTACATATGTTATTTTTTCTTTTTTTTCAAGCTTTTCTGAAGGAGTAGTCATTGACCACAGAGATGTCGTATTACAAGCTGTAAAACTTCGTTATGGATCTGAGCGATTCCACAGTGTTAGCCAAATCATGGTAAGCTTGAAGTTTTGTTAGTGAATTTAAATTTAATATTTATTGCACAGATATCATATAACATAAAGGTATAATCAAAATGTAATTAAACTTAATTATCCTCTTTTTATCCAAGAAATCTAAATTGTAATGTATACATTATTTCTCTTAAATACAAAAAACATCTTTCAATAAATATGACAGACAAAGAGATTAGACATTATCAGTGCATTTTTAAACTGGGATTCTTCATATTCTTACTTGCTGTTCTCTTAAATAGAACTTTAAATATTAAATAATAAAACTGTTGTTTTAAAGCCTTTGACCAACAACTATTTTTGTTTTATCTTTACTGTAGCTATGAAAAAGTGAATGTTTTTGGTTTTTGTTTTTTATCCCAAAAGGGTAAAAAAAAATGAATTAATGTTTTTAAATAATTTTCCTAATTATATGAATTTTTTCAGGTACCCAATTTTGAAAATGTTTGCTCACGCCTAGGTATGGCTAGTGAACATCAAATTGGTGATCCCAATTATCGTAGAAAATGTAGAAATACAAAAGATCTTATTATGTCACCATCTCGGAAGGAAGCTGTTAGAAGGTATGATGTGAAAAAATATTTCCTTTCGCTTTTACTTTTTCTTTCTCTCTCTCTCCCCCTACGTGCTCTCTCTCCCCCACGTGCTCTCTCTCTCCCCCCCACGTGCTCTCTCTCTCCCCCCCCCCGTCTCCTCTCTCCCCCCCACGTGCTCTCTCTCTCTCCCCCCCGTGCTCTCTCTCCCCCCCTCTATCTCTCTCTCTCTCTCTCTCCTATCTCTCCTCCCCCTCTCTCTATCTATCTCTCTCTCCCATCTCTCTCTCTATCCCCCCCTCTCTCTGCTCTCTCTCTCTCTCTCTCTATCTCTATCTCTCTCTCTCTCTATCTCTATCTCTCTCTCTCTCTATCTCTCTATCTCTATCTCTCTATCTCTATCTCTCTATCTCTATCTCTCTATCTCTATCTCTATCTCTATCTCTATCTCTCTATCTCTCTATCTCTCTATCTCTATCTCTCTATCTCTATCCCTATCTCTATATCTATCTCTATCTCTATCTCTCTATCTCTCTATCTCTCTCTCTCTCTATCTATCTCTATCTCTCTCTATCTCTCTCTCTCTCCATCTCTCTCTCTCTATCTCTAATCTATCTCCATCTCTATCTATATCTATCTCTCTCTCTCTATATCTATCTCTATCTCTCTATCTCTATATCTATCTCTATCTCTCTATCTCTATATCTATCTCTATCTCTCTATCTCTATATCTATCTCTATCTCTCTATCTCTATATCTATCTCTATCTCTCTATCTCTATATCTATCTCTATCTCTATCTCTATCTATCTCTATCTCTCTATCTCTCTCTATCTCTCTCTCTATCTCTCTATCTATCTATCTCTATATCTCTCTCTATCTCTATCTCTATCTCTATATCTATCTCTATCTCTCTATCTCTATCTCTCTATATCTATCTCTATCTCTATATCTATCTCTTCTAAGCATCAACATTTTTATTAAAGCTAATGTCCAGAAATTTCTTATTTTATTTTTAATGTCTTTCAGGTCAGTTGGGGAAAAGGAATCCTCAAGTGGAGCTGCCTCTGCAAGTTGTCCAAATTCTGTTCCTCCCTTGTTGTTGCCTCCACCTCCACTACTCAATGATTCTGTTATGTCTGGCTATGGAGGTGACAAAGAGGATGAAGATGACTCTGCCATAGACAATGACAGTAAGTGAATACTTTACTTCTATTGCTAATATCTATACAAGTTATAATTTATGTTGTTCAACTGGTTAGGTTTTAGAATAAAAAATTGTAACAGTAATCAGACATTTTTTGCTTTATGCATATATTTAAGGTAGTGATTTTAATGTCTATTTGTTATCCATTGATGTCTGCTGACATAAAATTTTAACTGTTATTGAAAATTCAAAAATAAAATAGCCATTCAGCACATCATTATATGTTATGATGGAGGAGATAGTCTTTTAAATGTATACATGAGGAGATAATCTTTTGAGTAAGTTCTGGTAGGGAAATGCATCCTCATAGCATTTAATGAAAATTGATTACTTAACTGAAGTTTGAAGAACTATTACTTTTTACTTAATAGTGAAGACATTTGTTTACAGCAGGTAAGCCAGCTCAGTTCAAAGGTCAGGTACTAGTTTACCCATCATTCTATGCCTATATGGGATTAGTTTGCTTAAATTTACATGCATTTCATAGAATAGCTGAAGTATGGATAACACGTGATATTATTCACCCTGGCAAAAGTATGTTACCATTATAGTAATATATGACTGATAACACTACCAGATTCAAAATCTCTCCATTCCTATGTTTCTTTTGATATTTTTCTCCAAAGTCTTGTTTGAATTCAGGATTGTGATTCCATTTTTAATTATTTTACTTTCAGGTGCTGAACACAAAGCCATGGACATTCCTTCCTGCTGTTCATGTAATCCTAAAGACTGTGATGTAGGTGGCATGACTGCAGCCCCAATCCGTTACCATGGCAAGTCATACATTGTCTTCACAAGGTCATCTTCTTCGACAGTAGGCGCAACATCATCAGGCAATGCTGCCTGTCTTGGTGCAGAAGATCCAAGCAGGAGCTGTGATAACAGCAGCACACACCAGCGGTCACCATGTGCCCATGCTGAGGCTTGTAACCTATGTTATCTACTTGATATTCGGTCACGGCCACAGGCACGAAACGTCTGTGATTCTGAGAGTGATGACTCTGATATGGACTATGAAAATTCCCACAAGAGCAGTCTCATTAAGACCCGGTCACGCACGCAGCCCCAGTGTGTTGTCAGCAGCAGTTTCAAAAGGAAATGTAAGACACAAATTGGTGGGGCATCAAAAACGTTTGTCATTCCATAATGAACAAAAAGAATTGGCTTACAGTATTGGTGAATAAAACTCAGGAATTTAAACTTTTTTTTTTTTTTTTTTTTTTTTTTTAAATGGCTTTAACAATCCAGAACAAAGAAATGTAAGGAGAGGAAAAAAAAAAATTTTACTCAAATGTTTTTATAGTGAATAGATTATCTTTAATTCTATTAGGGTTACAAGAAATAATAATTTAAAAAAAATAAATAAATTCATAATGAGGAAAATAAAGTTTACAGCATTTACTACCAATGTGAAACAAAAAGTAGGCATATCCATCCTACCAGAAAATGTATACAAAATTGGACAGATTAGCCTTTTTGCACTTAATTTTTAATATGAACTAAAAGAATTGGCTTTAATATGTGAGAAAATAGTCAAAAATTATTAATATCAGGCATGGTTAAAAAAAAAAAAATTCCTTTTCCCATCTTCCATTTTAAGATTTCTATCTGAAAAGGGATAAAATAAAATAGCCTGTTAGATGGGTTTTGGGTTAATTTCTATTCTATTTTAGTCTGTAATTTTGACAGTTTTAAACATTTTGCTCAAACTTTTTGAGGGTCAAAAATGACTCTCCCTGAAGCCCTGCTTTTCAGGGCCTATTGGTTTTTGACAGTGATACAATGGCATCATCCAAAGTAATCAATCAGTTGATTTATTCATGTCACCTGGTCACTTTAAAAACTCTTCTGTTATTACTCTGTTGTAGCCATCATTTTATTCACTTCATAACAATTTTTTTTCTCTAAAAAAAAAAAAAGTCCTGTGCTTAGTGAATTAATTCAGTTTTGCTGATTATCCAATATATAAATTTGATTTAAAAAATTTGTAAAACAATGTCCTACATCAAAAAGATGTTATTTCCCCCAATTTTTTTCTCTCTCTCTTCACAAATATTTTGTACAGCCTTGGGAAGAAGTGTCAATTTTCTACCTGCCAGTTTTTGTTGGCTTTTTTTTTTTTTATATAGCCTATGAATTGATTGTAATGTTTTTCTTTTTACTATTATTATTACTATTACTGAGGATATTCCCCACCTCTTTTAATCTATGGTGTCCAATTTATTTGTACACTGTGTGTACTTGTCTCTTGTTTTTTACCTTTCTGCTAAAAAGTACAAAATTGGTTGAACAGCAAATGGAAAGAAGTTGCTTTTGTTTTCTTAACAGTTGCAGTATTAAATATCAGTCGTCTGCAGAACTAAAATTTTATTACCTGATTAAAAATGTCATGAAATAAGGCCTAATCATGGAGAAATACTGAAATGATTTTTTTTTTCTTCCCACTTTATAAAAGCAAGTCTGAGATTTTTCTTTTACAAAAATGGAAATCTTTCCTGAAAATGGACCCTTGAAAAAATTTCAATACTTGGAAGATTTGATTGGTTGAAATTGGCTCAATATTAAAATTTAAACATCTCTAAGATTCAGCAGAATTCTTTTTGACTTTTATTTATTTTATGCTATTTTTGTTCTTTTATTAACAATGTTGAATCTAAAAACAACAAAATTGTCAAGAGGGCTCACTTTTTTCTTTATACCCTCTTATTTATGCTTTTTAATTATATAATGATTTGATAGATTACTTATATTATTAGCACTCATAAAGGGACCTATTATTGCTTCTGAAATATTTGTTCCTAAAATTGTCACTTGTTTTAGTTGTAACATTTTGCATTTTTGTTGTAGCCACAGTATTTGTTTTGTATATGCACTGCTGCAATCCAAATCTTTGTAAACATGTTTTCTAATTAAGAAATGCATTAACTTATTGTCTAAACTACATTTCTATCTGCGTTTTTTGTTTTCTTTTGTTTTTTTTACTTTTGATGTCACTTAGTTTTTTCTCACAATTGTATGACAAAATCCTAAGATGAAAACAGGTAAAATACTTTTGAAATTGCTGTATTTATCTACTAAATCTATTACCTACATTCATGGTTTGAACAGTTGTAAATATGCATATACCAAAAACCAACTGGTTATCAAAATGTAGAACAAATTGGAATACTTCAGGAAATCTTGCTTAGATTCTGAGATAAAAAATTTTAAAGGTATAATGTAATATACTAAAATGTAAAAGTTGAAATGAATACTTTTACATTATGTAAAAGTAGTTTTGTTTGTATCAAAGTTTAAGTAACAAGGACATATTGCCAGAAAGAAATCTGTGCATTGATAGGCAAAGTAACAGTGTCTAAGACTTGAGCAGTTATTAAGTAGTGGAAAAGAGGCTCCAAATAGTCCCTTGCAATTATCTTCAGAAAGTGTGTGGGTTTTTTGTTTTTGTTTTTAATATATATCTAGCAGTAAAATCTTGATTGCTGGCCTGCTATCATTTCCATTCATTTTATATAAAGAAATATATATATAAGAAAGAATTGCTATCATTCATTCAGATTTTATTTGTGATGCTCATGAAATATTTTTGTATTTAAATCACAAGTTTTAAAAATAAAATTTAAAAAAAAATGATGCGGGAGAACGTTAAAATCTGTGATTTTGATGATTTTTTTTTTTTCTTCCCCCATATAAATGGTTTGGGAGTGGGGTACAAACTAAACAGCTAAAAACTTTTCTCTCCACCACCAAAAAAAAAAAAACTGTATCCATGACCACTTCAAAGAGAAATTTAGTCAATTTTTGTAACAAATTGAATATGAAGTTTTGTGGTGCTCCTGTTGAAGGAGAATAGGGTGCTCTTTTATCTCATAAATATCTTCCTTCAACTTATTTTCTGATTAATGTTGCCAAAAACATTTTAAAATTTTATCAGCATTAAAGGTATGAAAGCTATTCTCATCCCATTGCATTTTGATTATATACTTGGGATAAAACATGTATATAATTCCACCCATGACTTTGATTTATTCTAACCACATTCCCTCCCAGTTCCTTCAGTCAGTGTTTATGGTCAAATTGGACTAAGAATGATATGGCACAAACAAGTCACAATCTTTGTTTATCCTCCAAATACTGTGTCTGTCTGTCTCTTTTTCTTTTTGTATATATTCATTTTATATAGGCAGGTTTTACCAGAAGGAGAAAAAAAAGATAAAATTGTGGAGAAAAGTTGCCAAAAATGCAAATTTAGCAACCTGTCTGCATTTATTCCCTCACTCCTGTTTCCACATTTATTTACAAAAGGGATTTAGTATAAGTCTAGTGGATGCCTTAGTTTTGGAAATTGTTTTTGAAGTGATGCATGTTGAGTGAACAAACCTAGTTTTTGTACGTTTCAAAAAAATTGCTTTACTCTGTATCTACAAAATATTCACATGCCAAACAAAAAGACATCTATTTTGTGCCACTTCCTGGTTAATCAATGAATTTTTGTTTAAGGACGATGCTTTATATAACACACACACACACACACACACACACATTTCTTGCATGAATATATCTTTGATATTTATAAACTTTCTCTTAGTTGTAAATGGTTTGCGTTCATATATTTGTTTGACAATTAGGTGTTGATCTGGAAGCTATTCAATCCAGCTTTATTGTATCTGCTGGGCTAATCCCTCAACATTTTTATCAATTTCTGTTGCTTTTTGTTTTCTCCTCCCCTTGTTAAGACGAAGTCCAGCCACTTGGTCAAAGTAATTAATAAATTATTTTATACCTCCTCTCCTGAATTGTTCTATAATCATAATGGGTTGGGGAATAACTGAAATACCTCTTTTTATAGACTTTATTTTAATTTTTTTCTCTGGGTAGCATAGATTTGTGTGGCATTGTAAAGATGTTTGTATTATATAATGCCATACATAGCAATATATTTATAATATATATATATATATATATATATATATATATATATATATATATATATATATATATATATATATATATATATATATACTTTGCAGGAAAGATCTAAAACTGTTAGTACATTTGCTTATATGAAATCTATAGTGATGTATATGACTTTCTTTGGGGAAGGAGTAAAAGTTAATTTATTTAAGATGTTCTATCTTAATTTTCCCTATGGTGATTTAGAATTTCCCTCTTAACGCACACTGTAGTCAGTTCATTTGTGTACTTGTAAAATATAGTATTGTCTGTGATGTGTATTCATGTCCTGTCTAACCATTCAGTATTAGAGGAGGTTTAAATCTTGACAAGATTTGGTGTTTCTGTCACTTAAATATGTCATTTGTGGAGGACATGTTTTCAAGATGAAGACCTCCCAAATTACAAGTTTTTGTAGTTAGTTGACCTTCTCCTGTTAGTGAAATGCAGCCCCAAATCCACCCCCACCCCCATTAAGTGCATCATAAAAGCTTTTAATTTTGGGTATTAAGAAATAAAAGTGTTAATATTCAAAATTGTATCAAAGTGAAGGCATAAGGTCCACCAACACAAAAAAAAAAAAAATGGTGTGTCAAAAGGAGTCTTTCTCTTGACACAATATTATTTTAACTCCCTTCACTCCCTGGCAATGGTGGTTTTAAAAAGCGATGATTAAAACTTTAATAAAACCTAAACATGGATGTGAATTTCACTTTTTTTCTTGAATTTACAACAAAAATATTAAAACATTTATTAGATTGTTTATTTACAACATTCTAAAAACTAATACAATGCAATATTTATCATTTACCAATTTATAAAAAAAACTTTTATTCATAAACTTATAAAGACTTAATAAATTATTAAAATATGTGGGCCAACTATAAGAAAATCCTTATTTACCATTTTATAAAGTTTGAATTGATTGGCAATTAGCCAATGTTTTGCCAACCATTCCAGTAAACAATATAATAGTGTAAATAAACAATCTGATAAAGTGTGTTTTAATTCTCAAAGAACACAAAAAAAAATATTAATTCACTTTCATGTTTAGGCTTCAAAAATTTAATCATTGCTTTTTAAAACAATAAACATTACCAAGGAGTGAAGGTAGTTAAAATAAGTGGGAGGGGGGTCCTTTTGACACATGACTCTTTCCTTGCACACAAATGTTAAAGATTGCCACAAAAAAAA